ATAATCTTCGGGATGAATTGGTTCAATCAGTTTGTAGTGGCCCTGCATGGATAAGGTAGGAACCTTGTGGTACTAGCAAATGCCTGGGGAGAATGATCCAGGGTGGAGGCCCAAGATCTAAAGGTAAGGCAATATAAGGCCAAAGACTCCTACTTGAACCTGATGTCTAGAAGAGGACAACTCACTAAAGGAATTGAGGCAACATTTTTGTGCTTACTTTTGGTGAGAAGTGACAAAAGACAGAAGCAGAAGAAGTACATTTACTGATCTAGCGGGTGTTGGACCAATTCCAAAATACAATGCCAGAGGAGCTACCGGCGGGGTTACCCCCCGCACGACTGATAGAACATAAGATTGAGCTAGTTGAAGGTGCTAAGACAATGGTTCATCCCCCCTATCGTTTGAATGAAAAGGAACTTGAGGAGCTCAAGCACCAACTAAAAGAGTTGGTGGATAAAAGATATATTAAGTTCACCATATAGTGCACTAGTGTTATTCGTGAAAAAGAATGTGCATGTATATAGACTACTGGTTGCTCAACAAGTATACAAAGAAGAAGAAATACCATTTACTAAGAATTGAGGACTTGTTCGATAGGTTGGGAAAGACAAAATACTTCTTGAGGATTGACCTAAGTACCAGATCAGGTTAGCAAAGGAAGATGTCGAGAAAACAACCTATCAGACAAGGTATGGGAGCTTTGAGTTTCTGGTGATGCCTTTTGGGCTGTGCAATGCATCGGTAATGTTTTCGGCGCTGATGAACCACATTTTTGTACCCTATTTAGATCATTTCGTGAGCATCTATATTGACGACATTCTGATCTATAGCGAGACACTAGAGGAGCATGCTGAACACTTGACGAAGGTGTTTAAGAAACTAAGGGAACACAAGTTGTATTTTAAAGAGAGCAAATGTGACTTTGCTCAACAAAAGGTAAAGTTTCTCAAGCATATGGTTGGCAAGGATGGGCTCATGGTGGACCCTAAAAAGGTCCAAGCGATTCAAGAATGGGAGTGACCATCAAATGTACATGAGTTAAGGGTGTTTTTGGGGCTATAAAATTATTATTAAAAGTTTATCAAACACTATTCGAGAGTAGCTTTGCCTTTAACGAACCAAACGGAAAAAGGGAAAATGGTATGGACAGCAGAATGTGAGGTGGCATTTATCCACCTTAAAGGGGAGTTGAGGAAGACTACTGTGTTGGCATTACCAGACTTTGGTAAAGACTTCAAGGTATAAACAAACACTTCAAACTTTGCATTAGGAACAGTTTTGAAGAAAGACAACCATCTAGTGGCATTCTTCTCGAAGAAGTTGGACAAGGCTCAGTGAAAGTGGCTTGCCCACAAGAAGGAATTATTTGCGGTGGTCAAGGCGTTTAAAGAGTGGTGACACTACCTTGGGAGGCACTTCAAAGTTTACATAGATAATGTGGTAACAAAACACTTATTGTCGCAGCCCGATCTAAGAGGAAAACAAAGTCAGTGGACCAATGCTTTGGCCAAGTTCGATTGCGAGATCCTATATAAACTAGGAAGAGCAACATTGTGGTGGATGCTTTAAGTCGAAAGGCAAGCTTGAAGTTGGCAATATATAGTACGATAACAACCTTTAAAGATGATATGCAGACAACATATGAGAATGATGGTTTAGCACAAGAAGTGTTGCTAAGGAACCAAGAGGTGTGGGATGCTCACTAGGGAGGTGAGCTACCAACAAAAGAGAAAACAGGTTATGCAAAACGCAATAGACTTATTTATTATAAACAAACGAAGGTATATGTTCTAAAAGGGGAACTAAAGAAGGTAGCGTTAGAAGAGTGTCATGATAGACCTCTTGCGGGACACGGAGAAGTGCTCAAGACAATGGGTTTACTTAAGAGGAAGTATCATTGGCCAAACATGGCTAAGGACGTCCAAGATTATATAAAGACATATCCAATATGTTAGCAAATTAAAGCCATGACTAAGACTAGTGGGGGTTTGTTACAAAACATTCCAATTCCAGATCGACCGTAAAAATGTTTTACAATGGACTTCACATCACAAGACTCCCCCATAGCAAGGGGTTTGATGAGATATTCATGGTGGTAGACTAGTTTTTGAAAATGGCATATTTCATAGCCACCATAACAAAAGTGGATGCAGAAGGCCAAAAAAGATTATCTCAGATCAAGATAGAATCTTCACCAGTAGGTTCTGGAGAACTCTCCTGAAACAGTATCGCACCAAGTCAAAATTCAACACAACCTATCACCCATAAACATGTATTGGGTATTAAGTCAAGTTTGATGGCAATAACACTTCTTGACAGATGGATAAACAAAAAAGGTGAATAGGCAGCTGAAGGATTATCTGCAATATTATTGTAAGCAACCAAAGGGAACGACTTAAAAGACGATCCATGGGGTTCAAATATAAAGGGAAAGGGCCCATGAACAAAAGTGCACCTCTTTTTCCAATTGGTTAAGGGTCTTGGGATAGTTAGAGTTAAGCGTCCTTGGGTTTGAATAGTACTGGGTTGGGTGACCTCTCGGGAAGTCCAAATTCATGAGCTTACATTTGGTATCAGAGCGGTCTCGGGTCCGACTCTGTTGGTTGGCTAGGGGAATCACACCATATGTTGATTGACATCTAGCTGGTCCAGTTTGCTCCCACTGGGCTCGACCCAAGGGGTAGGGTGTCAAGAGAGCGGGGCTCTTGGGAGAGCTATGGCTCTCAGCTTCTGTTCACGAGGGCGTGAACTTGCAGGGAAGTATAGTGAATTGTAAGCAACCAAAGAGAACGACTTGAGAGACGATCCATGGGGTTTAAATATAGAGGGAAAGGGCCAATGAATAAGAGTGCACCCCCTTTTCCAATTGGTTAAGTGTCTTGGGATAGTTAGATTTAAGCATCCTTGGGTTTGAATAGTACTGGGCTGGGTGACCTCCCGGGAAGTCCAAACTCATGAGCTTACAATTATGTCTCTGGAGATCAAACTGATTAGGTAAGTCATTTAGGATTTGTGAAAATATGCTATAACAACTCACCACATTCGAGTATCAGGGTGAGTTCATGGGAAGTCATCAATGGGCAAGCTATTGAAGGTTTTGTGGAACTCGGTGTGGCTGAGTATCATCGCAGGCTACCCACAATGGAGGCATTCATGGTGGAAAAACTCAACATTTGGAATCTAATAAGGGATTCTTTGGAACAAACCAAGTATGCAAACCAGAAGCACTGGGATGTAAAGTTCTAACCTGAGAAGAAGGTATGGCTAAACACCAAGAACCTAAGGCTACCAAGTGGGATCAGTAAAAAATTGACCCAAAGGTAAAAATGCATGTATTCCTGGAAATGAACTGATCTTGAGTTCCTTAAGCAAGTTTGTGAGGCCTTATGAGATTGAGGCATGAATTAGTAAAGTGGTTTACCACTTTCAACTTCCTCGAGAGATGGGAAAGATGCACCATGTGTTGAGGATCTGCTTTGCAAGGACTAAGTAAGACCTTTACCTGAGGTTATTCAAGGGGAAGAGGAATACGAAGTTGAGGCCATCCTCAATGCGTGCAAGAGCAAGTGACAAAGGCGTGAAGTGAGGGAGTTCCATGTGAAGTAGAAAGGATTTTAACACTGCAAAGCAACATGAGAACCGAAGGAGAACCTAGCGAACGTGCGACACCTAGTGAAGAAATTTTTGCAAGGTAGAACTCTATGTACTTATGCAAAATTCAATTAAAATATCAATTTGTGAAATTGAGTAATAGCATATGTTAGGACCTGAAGGCCCGTTGAATGTAAGATAATTAACATGTTAGCTAAATTGACTAGGTGTAAGGAATTACACCCGACTCCCTGCAGGGATGTCGAATCTATAAACATATTCTATGGAGGTTAGGTTTGAATCCCAACCCTCTAGTAAAGCAAGGCTGGATTCAAGTCCCAACCCCATACTAGCGTAATGAGGTGAGGTATAGGGACACCTATATTCTATTGTTATGGGCTCTTGACTAAGGAGGTTAACTTAGGCACACTACTAAGTGGGGGGATGCCCCCAAAGACATGGTCAACAAGTCGTAAGATTAAAAAAAGATGTTTAATGTGGGCATTGAACTTCTTTATAGGTGGTGGAGTTGTAAGGAATTAACTCCCCGAGGTGTTGTAGGCTAAAGGATCCCTGAAGGCACTATTGAAATAATAAAGAGTTCATTAGATAGGACTGAGTCTGAGATCAAGTCCAAGACTAACTCTGAGACCAAGATTGACTTTGTGCAGGAGCTTGTGATAAGCAACAACTCCGTGACATGGCTCAAATCGTCATGCACAGCCAGCTGCCGAATTTTCAGCCCCAAGTGCCTCTCGAGATCATGGAAATGGGTGTCAAGGTGCATCATCCCCTACACTTGGCCCCGCAGTGCTGCAATGTTGAGTGGCACTGCATGAAGCCAAAGCTTCATTCGGATGCCAGTGCAAGAATTTTGACAAAACCACGGAGGTGTGTGCATGATGAACTAAGCAAGAGAAATCTTGGTAGCTCCATTTCATGGTTTTTCCTGATCCTTCGAATTCCCAGACTATGGATTGATGAGCCACACCCAACATCAGCTGAAGTGGAAGAAGAATTTCCAGGCTATGGATTCATGAGCCATGCCTAAGATGGGTAGCCAGTCATGATGAACCAGCAAAAGAAACATCTTCTCAAAAACTTATCTTCTTGATGAGCATTGCAAGGCTATCTCTAAAATCGACCATGATCAAGTTCTCAGAACTTTAAGCACAGATGAATCAATGAAAGAAACAAAGCTGAAAATATTTTGTGGCTTAATACTTCACCCGTCAACATATATCGAAAGCAGGTACAATCAAAGATCAGTCGACGTCGTGTCAAGTTTTCTCGAATATGCCAAGAACATTCTTAAAATGACTTAACACAATCGTGGCCGTTGGATGAGAGAACGTAAACATCGAATATGCCTGGAACATTCCCAAAAACCCTAACACGTGATGCGTCCGGGTCGCAAGCGCAGCATCGCCTCTCGGATTGCAGAGGCCATGGCGTCGAGGGGTAATGAGCCTCTTAATGCAGCTCAGCGGCCGCAGGAAATCGTCCAAGAAAGTCGAGGGTTGAGAGAGTAATTTTAGCACGGTTTTAGGCAGATGAAGCAAGCCCAACGCTGGAGCTCCATCTGCGGGAACAAAGAGGTGAGAGAGATATTAAGTTTCTCATTCTTTGCTTTACTTGCCAGATTTTTGATCCGGAAGACTAAAGTTGAGCCTTCGACGTTGACAGTCGAGAGAATCTACAACCATTCTCACGAGGTAAGAAAAATCTAGGAACCATTGAGAGACAGGTAAGCACTTCTTCACCTTCGATTGTGTGTCCGCCACCGTGACGTTTGGTGAAATCACCATGCACCAGCGAACGTTGTCATCGCGTTTGACACGGCCTCACCAAGTGCAGTGCTGGAGTTGGGCATGAACAAGCCCGAGTTCACCGCCGTGGTTGTCATGTAAGATCCCTTTCTAGCTCAAAACTTTCCTGTTTGATCGCGATCTCTGGATGGCTGACTTAGAATCCCGAGCTTGCTGGTTACTTGGTTTCCATAGCTGCTAGTCCTTGTGACTGACTTTGATCTCGTTGGCGGCTGCAGAGCTGACAAGGGTGACACCCTCAAGGCCTCGTACTCGCACGTCGTGAGCCCGTTCACGAGGACCACCATTGGAACCGAGATATCCCACAAGCTGTCCACCAAGGACACCGTCTCCATCGGTGGCTGGACGCGCTGACGACGATCAAGGCCCGGTTGAAACCAAGTCCGTTATCTCGATGTCGGGCGAAGTGGACACGAAGGCGCTCGACAAAAGCGCCAAGCTCGGCCTGGCGCTAACGCATGTAAATTCGACAGCTTAAAATTTAAATAAGTTCCTGTGACAATGTCTCCTGTGACAATGTTATGAAAGATTGTTCTTGCGTTTCAAATTGAAAGTTTTCATCGGTGACACTTGGTTTGTTTTGCGCAAGAACAAAAAGCCCGGGCGATCAAGCGTGGTATTTTTCCATGGACATCTTCATGATGCTTCTGCGCTGAGACGCGTGGATACCACCGGCGACCTTGCTGCAAAATGTGGCTCCACGAAGGAGAGAAGAAGGCGATGCTTGAGGCGCAAGAAGAAGGGCAAAGGAAAAGGTTTTCTCGAGCAGAGACACAAGAAAGACACAAGACCTGGAGAGAAAGAAACACGATCGCATGGAAGAAAACAAAATACTAGAACCAATCGAGCTCATCCTCACTTGGATCGATCACCTCCGGGGAGCCGGTACACCGGAGACACAAGAAAGAAACATCTCGGCTCGATCAGAAACAAGAAAACAACAATCTAGTAGGAATCGTCTGGATCGAACACTTCCGGGGGGTCGTATCCTCCTCCCAGATGTCCATTGGCTCCAGTTCCTCGGGCGGATTCTCTTCGCCGGGATTGATTACCTCGGGCTTCTCTTCCGGCTCCTCCTGCACGGCTCCTCCTCCACCGTCAATCTCCATTTCAACGGGCTCAGCTTCCTCGGGCATCATCAATCTCCATGTCCACAGGTTGTTCTTGAGGAACGATGGGAGGAACGATGGGTGGAGGCAGATGGCCGTTCCAAAAGAACTTCATTCCGATCGTTGTTGATGCGCGGATCCGCAAGGGATTGGGTTTCCCGACCACGGATCGTGTCCCCCACAGCATCCCGGGTGAAACTACACAAAACACAAAAAACTCCAAGAACACCATCAATTTTTTGTCAAATGTGATTTCAAGCACTCACCAGCCACGATGCGGACGGGAAAACGCGAGAAAGAGATGCGCTTTAGCGCAGCTGCTGCGATCGCCGCGGCCATTCGCGCTCCTTCCTCGCCTCCGTGAAGTGAAAAGTGATTTCCGGGAAGTCGAACCCGCGACCACTCGAATATATTCGAACGCTTCGATGGAGGTATATTCTTTTCAGACCAATCCGAACCGTGCATCACGTGGACGGCCATGATACAATCGTCAAGAATTTATTACAGTGATGTGGACATCTAAGGGCTTACGTGTCACGCTTCGACGTCTACGTAGCACTTCGCTATGTCTACCAGCTTGATTTGAGGAGCGCATAGTCAGCTGGCAGCCCGGCGTATAAAACCGCACTTTCCCTCACTCAATCCATCGCTGGCCTCCCACTTCAAGCGCGCGATCGATCGATCACTCCACCGCATTCTCTTCGCTTCGCGATCTCGAGAGTTTTCTCCGCAATGTCGCCGCGATCGCCTCCTTCTCCAGCTTTGATCGCCATGCTGCCGTTGCTGCTACTGCTCCTCGCGATATGGATCGATCCCTCCCTCGCCCAGCAGCAGCCCGCGAATTGCAATGGCCAGCTCAATCAGCTCATTCCCTGCCTCTCCTACGTCCAAGGCCAGGCGACTCAGCCCGCGCAAAGCTGCTGCAGCGGCCTCAAATCGATCGCCGGTTCAAATCCCGCCTGCCTCTGCTCGCTCATCTCCGCCAACGCGGGTTCGATCCCCGGCATCAACTCCACCCTCGCGCTCGAGCTTCCAGCAAAGTGTAACTTACAGGGGTTAAATCCCAGCCTGTGCTCTGGTAAGTTCTCACTTTCATCATTCTTTCTGGTTTTTTTAACCTTGGTTTTACCTTGAGTTTTCACTTCCATTCTTTGTGATTCTTTCCTTTGGTTTTACCTTAAGTTTTCATTTCTGGTTTTTTACCCCTCAGGTAATCTTCAGGCTCCAGCCTCGGCCCCAGTTTTGGCACCACAGTCGTCCCCACTTAAACAAGGTTTTTGGCGACTTCCATTGTGTATTATCTCGTGATTAGTCTAATCTGTGTATTTGTTTAGTTGCCCCGGCTCCAGGAGGTTTGGTTCCAGCACTGGCCCCAGTTTTGGCGCCCCAGACTGCCCCACTTAAGCAAGGTATTTACTCCCATTTCTTATCTCGAGAGTTTTAACTTGTGTCAAATTTGTGAGTAGTTGTACCAGCTCCAGCGCCGGCTCCCAGGCGCAAAGGTAAGAAAAAACGATCTAATCGCGCGGTTAATAAAATCTACTCGCTCCTTTTTCTTTCCAGGCGGCCACAGGCACAGAAGACCAGTGGCAGCCCCAGCCCCCGTTACAGCGACCCCGTCTCCAGTTGCGGCTTCACAGGCCCCGGCATTGGCGCCTTCCCAGAGTGTGAGCAATCCATTTGGGACCGGTTCTCCCAGGCCTTTGGTCTCAAGTGGAGATTTTAATCTTCCCTGCACACACATTATAAGTGGGGTTTTGCTACTTGTTCTTGGAATGTTTTGATTAAATACATCATCGTCCTTGATATATTTTTCTATTCACCTGGATGTCTGACACGTGTGCATCTTCGCCGCCGTTGGATCAAACTGCGGCCATTGCCGTATATAGGGAAACGTGTACGGCATTGTTTGGAAGGAGAGAAAGCGCGCTTGGAGGGATTGGGCACAAGAGGTAGGGCGTGCGAGAAATCCTTTCGATTGGATCGATTCTCTGCGATCTTGCTGCTAGATCGAGCTAAAATCTTGCGTCCCTTGCCGCGGCGCCTTGGATCTGGGGCGTGGAGCGTGCAATCCAGGTGTGTGATTTCTTCCTTGTTTCTTGGTGAATCGTTCAAACAGCATTCCATTTTAGTTTGTAAGATTAGAATCCCCTCTTTGATTTTGGCTAAAGTCCTCTCTCTTTTCTTTTCCTAAACTCAGGTTTCTCGAGATGAGTTGTTGATCGCAGTTACGATACAATGGACTTGTTATTCGAAAAGGCTCGAGATCTTGCGCAGGAGACCGCAAAGAAATCTCAAGACTTTGCCAAGGAGGCTGCGAAGTTCTCGCAAGAGCTGGCACTAGAAACCGCGAAGAAATCCAAGGAGTTGGCTGTGGAGGCTACCAAAAGAGCCGATCAAATTAAGGCGTTTGCTACCGCGGAGCTCTCGCCTGGAAGCGTAACTCCTCCGAGCCCTTCACAAGAGGAACTTGAAACGTATGGGATCACACCAGAGCTCCGAGAGTTCGTCAAGACCTTCACGATAAGAACGTTTCGGGACTACGATACCAAAGACTGTATGTTTGGTTTATCTACTTCTTGCTGACTAAATTCTTCTTTCAGTGAACGAAACAGGAGTTCGCCAAGATCTAAGCGAATGGCAGGAGAAACACGCAGTTTTCCTTCTTCAAGTTGTTCCGGTAAGTTTTCTTCTTTCATGTGATGTTTCATCCCGTAAGCTTTGGCATTCTCTTGAGCCAGGATCTCTCTGATTTTCGCTACGTTTTGTGCCCGCGAAGGATGAAGGAGACCACCTTCTGGAAAATCTATTTCAAGCTCGTTGAGAACTACATCGCCCCGTGAGTCTATACAACACTCCCGGAAACTTAACTCTGGCATTGCTTACAGATATGAAGCGCGTGCAAACATCGCAAAGGTGGACGATCAGACGTCCAGCACAAAACCAGATCAACCGAGAGAAGAAAGCTCGAGCGATGCAATCGACAAGAAACCACATCCTGCCGATCACGATCTGGACGCCTACCTTCTGGGAGCGCTAGATGGTCACGACGACGGACAAGGTGAAAGAGTTTGTTCTCGGTTGTTTTATCTCTTGACATCTATGTATGATCTCTCAGGTGATGATGGAGATTCCGATCCAGAAGACTTCGATCGCCTGGTCAACAGCACGGTGAGTACTTTCACAAATAGTAACAAATGAAGCGTGACTTATATTTTCTATGCTTTGTTTGCAGGGTCTAGATAGCGACGGCGAAGATGGTGTTCACAAAAGCGAAGCAGCAGGTTCTTCCGATGGGGAGCTTGTAGAAATTCCGGATAGCGCAAAAGCTCAAAGCGAGCACTGTAAGTAAGCTTTGTCAAGCTGGTAAGAAGACATTTGGCAAATGGTTCCATCTTACGACGTTCTTAGTATTGACGTATTGACGTATTGACACTACAAACAATAGCAGGTACTTCTAATCACTCTTCGCCGAGAATCCTCAAAATCTGGAATGCAAGAAAGTGATCTTGTAGAGTTCTTCGTGAGGCACAGACAAACACAAACCTGGCTCATCTTGGCTCGCTCTGACGGAGCCGCTCGCAGGCAAAACGAAGCCGCGTGGATCATACAGTGTAACTCGTACATGTTAAACTTGTCTCCAAGTCTCTTGTCAATCAGCGATTCCGCGTCTCTGGTTTCAATCATGGGACGAGCCTGTTGTTGCAAGTTAGTTCTTTTGTTTAAATAAGAAGAAAAAAGAGCTCCTATTTTTTTTACCCATTCTATGAGGCTTGTCTCTCCAGCAGGCAAGGACAGATTAATGGCTCTTCGTCCAGTGATAAGCTCCAGGAGAACCACGCCAAATGAATAGACGTCGGTTTTGGTGGTAACTTCGCCGCTGGAGATGTACTCTGGAGCCAGATAGCTTCGATCCAAGAACAAAATCGTTTTTTTAGTCATCAAAATCGTTTATTTTTATTTTTCTTTTCAGTCATCAGCCAGCACCGCTTGTTTCTTACCCGAGAGTTCCGACGAGCCTTGTTTGTGCAGGCGAATCATCGTTGCTTTGCCATCTTGCTAAGCCAAAGTCTCCAACCTGTTCCCATCTTTGAGCGCATTGAAACGAAAAAAGAAGAATGAAAGAGAGGCTGCTCTTCTCACCTTTGGAGTGTAGTCGTGTGTGAGAAGAATATTGTGAGGCCGCACGTCTCTGTGGACGATGGATCCAGTTCGGCAGCCTTCGTGGAGATATCTTAATGCTCTTGCAGCTCCCACAGCGACCGCATGCCTCGCAGACCAAGGCAAGACATTCGTATTCGCAGCTGCAAAACCAGTTTGAAGTGACTTCGTCAGAAACATACGAGAAAGCCATTCCTCTTACCCGAGAGATGCCAGTCCAAGCACTTGTTGCAGACGAATTCATATACCAGTATCCTCTTTCCGCCTTCGATGCAAAACCCGAGAAGCGTCACCAGGTTTCGATGTTGTGCGCCGCTGAGAGCTTCGACTTCCGCCTTGAATTCTTTTTCCCCTTGCGTGCTCGCATCCTTGTTTCTTTTCACAGCAATGTATCGTCCATCCTTCAATATCCCTCTGTAGACCGGCCCGTAGCCACCTTCGGCTAAGAAGTTTCCTGGGGAAAAGTTGAGGGTGGCTTCCTCAAGCTCAGCATACGTGAAGTTCGTTGTCGTCCTAAAACGTTTCTGGCTCTCGCAGATCAAGCATACCGGGGGTGCCGGATCAGAATGCGTTACTTCTCGAGTTTCTGTTTCGGGACCATGCTGCTGCTTGCTTTCGAGCTCGAGTGCGATAATCTGCTGCCTCTCGGCTAAAGTTTTGTGACTGCTCACTGATCCCTCGTTAGGACTATCTGAAGATACGTCGCTGCTGAGTTGTAAGGATGGATTCAGAACTACGGATTCAGATACCTTCAGGAGCTTCCCTTCATTATTCCGGTCCATGAGTATAACATTACACGATAGCTGCTCCACAATGTTCCTCTTATATCTTTTCAAGCCCCTGCAAAATGGAGCTATGAGAAATCATTCACCGCTTGAAGTAGCAGCACGGAGTACCTGTCCAACACTACCCAGGACGCTTTAAGTTTCTTGGCTTCTTGGGACGCGATCAGATCGAGTGGATGCCCCTTGGCAACTCTCACGTCAAGCTTGATCTGCATGGGATTTCTTACTGTTAATTAAGCAGGCTCACAGGATCATCGTGCGTGCTTACTCGGTGCTCATCGCATAGCTGCTGGACTTTGATCGATTTTATATTGTAGTACTTGATCGTTTTCGCTGTTTCTTCCTCTAGGCACTTGAAGTTCACTCCGTTGAAAGATGCAAAGTCCACCTTGGATTTGTAACCCACTGTGAGAAACAATCCCATCGGTTAGCGACTTAACTCAAGAAATTATCATCCTTACTTACTAGGAGTGAGGATCTCGTGAAGTATTCCGAGAAGAATTAAGCAATCCCCTGGCTGGACTATTCGCTCCACTGTCCACTCGAGAACATCCAGAGAGACTTCTCTCGAAACATCAAAAACCACAACCACAGTGCGAGGACTGGCCTGGTCTGGCGAGAAAAACGTAAGCCTGCTGCTGCTAGATATGCTGGCGATGGAGGACTTGCTGGAGGAAAAAAAAGAGTTTGAGTTGCTAGAACGCCTGGGACTGGGAGGAAGTATGTCTTCCATGGCTAGCTGACAGAAACGAATGAGAGAAGAGGTATATGAGACGCGAGAACCATGGATATACAGAGGAATGTTCGAAGATGCGTATGATACAACCGAGGGAAGATGATAAACAAGCATATACCAAAGGCAATGAGAAAAAAAGAGGAACCTTAATATAAGGTGTGGCTGCTGGGATTCGAGCCCAGGTCTCCACGGCCACAACGTGGAATTCTTACCACTAAACTACAGCCACAAACACATGAGTGATAGCGAAGAGGCAGCATCATCAACGAATGCTTACCATGACAACTGTTACCTGCGGATAGCCTCACTTCCTGCGCTGGTTAGAAACATAGATTAAATACAGATCAAAGTGATCAAGTGATACCAGTGTTCCTTGTTTTCTTAATTATCCGAGTCGTCGTCGTAGTCGCCATCGTCAGAGGACGAAGAACCATCAGCGCCTGGCTTTGAAACTTTGTTCTTTTCAGTGGCAACTCCAGCGGGAACTGGCTCTGGCGCTGGCTTCCTTTGGACAGGCTCGTCTTCGACCTCTTCTTCCTGCTCAAGAACTTCAACATGTGTCACGCCGGTTAAGGAAAATAAAAGCCAAGCAAAACAAAGACCGAGAAAGGATATCTACATCGCGAGCAGTGCCCCCTGCCATTATGTTCGTCAAGTCTTCCTCGACTTTACTCACGTATTCAGGCTGCAAAAAGAGATTTTTTTTCGGTGATAAAAATTGAAATAGACTTACATCCATGTCGGGTTGCCTGCGAAACCTTCGCTTTCGTGCGTTTTTCATGGCAGGGGTGAGTCCATGCTTGTACTCCGGTGTAGCATCTGGCTTCGAGGGATTTTCCGGATCATTCACAAGGATCATCTGGCATGGATGCGACACGAAACTAAGTAACGATTAAGTTGGGAGGAGATAACAAACGCACCTGTCCAATGTCGGCTGTTTTGATCAGCACGGAATGGTCATAAGTTTTGTACGATTCCACGACACAGGGTAGATCCACAAGCGAGACTTCGTACTCGTCCTGTCCAATTGTGAACTTGCCTGTTCGTCCATCACCTAGAACGAGCTCTCCAGGTGCTCAATTTTGCTCGATCGAGGCACTGGCGAGGAGACTCACCGTTAAAAGCGAGATCGATGGAGTCTTCATCGGAATTTTCACTGAGAATACTGTGCAGCTTCTCAGCTACAGAGGGAGGAACCCTCAGCACGAATTGTTCCTCCATAGCTCGGGCTTTTACTGCACAGGACAAGCTAAGGATAAAGAGATTCGCAAAAATGAGAGGTCGCTTACGGGAGGTGTGCGATGATCCTGTAGCAAAGACCTGGAAACAAGCAAAGGATATTCCAGTACAAAACACATACTTCCTGGATGGATATTCCGACAAGAAAGAGTTTTGGATTGAAGCAAAGTGATGGACCACCACAGGTTTGTCTCAATTCCCACGAGCTTCTCTACGAGTTGCGTCGTGAAGAATCTCGACGTCGACACCATCGACTGGTAATTGTACGTATCTCACGACCGAGCCTCTTATGAAGCAATTCTTCACGGACATCTTCACAAGAAGAAAAACGCGATCAGTCACTCCAGAGGAGAACAAAGTTAGCTAAACCCGATAACCGAAAAAAAACACAAGGCCTACGATAAAATGGAGAAAACTAGAACTCTAACCAAGAAGGACGAAAGAGAAGAAAGAACACCATAAAAAGAAGAAAAACGCGATCAGTCACTCCAGAGGAGAACAAAGTTAGCTAAACCCGATAACCGAAAAAAAACACAAGGCCTACGATAAAATGGAGAAAACTAGAACTCTAACCAAGCAGGACGAAAGAGAAGAAAGAACACCATAAAAAGAAGAAAAACGCGATCAGTCACTCCAGAGGAGAACAAAACTTGAGAACCGAAAGCAATAACGAAAGAGAAGTAGCCTAGTACGATCAAATGGAGAAATACTAGAACTCTTACAAAACAGGACGAAAGAGAAGAAAGAACACCAAAAAAAAAGATGAAAAACGCGATCAGTCACCAGAGGAAAACAAAGCTTGAGAACCAAAAGAAAACGAACAAACGAGAAGTGGAGAACTAGGACGAAAGAGAAGAAAAAAAAACAAAGAAAAACACTAGAAACGAACCATATGTGGGTACTTGATCTCGTCCACGACTTTGATGTTCTCTAGCTTGATGTTGAGGTACTGATCCACCGAATGAAGCACTCCAGTGATGGCGAGGTCATTCTTGAGCTCCACCGTGACCTCCTTCCCGACGAGCTCCTTGAAATATGAGAAGAAGAGCTGCAAAAACAGCGAGCAATTGGGAGAAATCGACGCGGCGGCATTGCGCTTACCATTGCGACGCCGAGACGAAGGGCGCGCGCGCGGTCCTCTCCTTAAACCCTAGAACTACGCATATGCTGGAATCTTTTACGTTCGCAGGTTATTCTCCTGTTAACATTGCATAACTAGTTAAGGATTTAGATTAGTTTAATATAATCTGTTATTAACGACGCCTTGTGATCGCGGAGGTAAAGAAAACGATGGCATGGATCGCGACGGTCAAAACGTCCAAGTTTTTGTGGATTTGGAAGAATTCGGCAATGGAGTGGCGTATGAACTGGGATGGATGGGTTTGCAGGTTCCGGCATGAACCGGATCGACATATGATCAAAGCCGGGTACGATAAGACGGCTCTCGAATCACTGGCGGCCAGCACGGAGGCAGGAAAAACTCTCACATTGTCTATCTCCGTACACACTATTGTCTAATTCCGTACATATCATGTGGGTGACTCTGGATTCAGGTGTCGGGGACGTTCGACCACACGATCAATTCACAAGCGCGATTCAAACTGAAGAGCAATATCAAGAAAAGAAAGAAATTCCGCGCTCGAGGCTTCGTTCTTTGGGACATTGTCCGGACTCGGGGCAGTGTTGTTGAGAGTGGGATTCGAACCCACGCCCTTGCGGACCAGAACCTTAATCTGGCGCCTTAGACCAACTCGGCCATCTCAACTTCTTATCTAAGATTAATCTTCACTCACCGACAAAGCCCACCAAGGGACATCCAGCAGCAAACCATTTCTCCCCGGTGCCAACTTTCAGTTTACTCATCGTGCCAAAAGAAGGATACAAAGATCTTGTCATGGAAAACTTGTCGTGTCAATCTTGTGATGGATGGGATCGCGACCACTCGGGACGTTCCTCTCCGGCTCAACATTGATCATCTCGTTCTTGCCACCGTGTTGAAGCAACGATCCTTCGCCGGGCCGGGCAGCGAGGGATTCCTGCAGAGAATCCAGGGACGAAGATGGAGATGGATGCGTGTTCTCGATCATCGCTTTCCCGCATGCCAAAGACGAGTAGAGCTCTTGAGGCGGTGGCGAAGAGGGATCGAAGCTTTGCGGAGACGAGGCGATTTGCCTCTCGTAGTCCTCGCACGCCTTCGCGATGCTGCCCTGGTACTGCTTTGGGTCGGAAGCGCCGCCTGGAACTTCTCTTGCCTCATGCTTCACAAGCTTGGCGCCGGTTTGAAGCAACGTTCTGGGCACTCCTCGCGGCTCCTGATCGATGCGAAGCCGTCATTGCCTGGTTGGAAGAAAGAAAAGAGAGAAACCATTGAAAAGACTTGCCTTGGGACCAAGTTGAGAGCGATCGAGTGATCCACCAGCAGTAGCGCCGCCAAGAAGCAACATTGAGACGATACCAACAATCGTGAACATTCTTTCTCCAGCCATGATCATCGGCCAGAGAATGAGAAGAAAAAAAATCTAGAGCAGGCACCCTTTCACGAGCTCACACCGCTTAAATATTCAAGCGCAAACTCGTGTACTGGGCGCGTGAATCCCGCTCGGTTGACACCACCAGTAAAATGGTGCGGCGCCGAGCTGGACATGACCTTCGTTGACCTTTTTGACCCGTGAGCCGTTGACCACCAAGACCACTCCTCCGTCGTGTGAAAGCAATGGTGGATCGCAGTGTAGGGCGCCTCGAACCAAACTTGGCCTTCGTGCAACGCTAGACGCCATCGCAGCGCTGCGGCACGCCAAACCGGATGGGATGGATCTTGAGCACGACTCGGGAACTCGTTGCCCGCTGCTCCACTCGTCAAGGCTCACTGGATCGGATAGAGCAAGTCTTCAATGCAGAGAAACTTTGTAAAGTACCTTGATGGACGCGTGAGCAACTGTGAACACCTCGAGGGCCGGGAATGGCTCCAGAAGCTGTGCAAGGTTGACGGACCTCGGCTGGAAGCTGGAAGAGTTCACGAAGTAGTCGAGCTGCGTGATCAAGCAAAACGCTCCAGGATTTGCGTTACATGGGCAGAGCTTTGACAGGTGTTTGTGAACGTCAGCTTCTTGAGCTTCCTGGATGATCCGCACGCCCCTGTGCGCCTTGATCCACTCAAGGTTGCCCGTCGACGGCGAGAGCTCCAGGCGCGGCACCACGCTGACGAACATCCAGCGGAGCTTGGGCATGTCGAGGTAGGCGATCGACATCGGCAGGATTCTGGAAAATTGTTGATATTGGCAACTCGAGAAGAACGAACAAAGAAAGAAAGAAAAAGGGAACCTGTGCGAGAGAAAAGCTGGCGACTCTATTGCCCCTCCAAGAACGCAGTGCAAGCCAGTGGAGGCTGTGGCTCTTGAGCAAATACGTCCCCGGCGATTTCACCACCGGCTTGGTCAGCTGGAAGTAGACGACCGAGGGGCAAAAGTCGAGGAGCTGCTGCGTTGTGCCTACGTCCAAGCCCGTGGACGAGATTGGGAAGGATTGGAGGCGCTGCCGTCGTCGTGAGAGGGACACCACGGAGCTGCTGGGAGGCGAGAATGCTGGACCAGAAGCCATCCATGGCCCCATTGACGCTGATCGTAAGGGAGCGAAGAGGTTCCCGATCACTGGTAGCCAGCCAAGAGAATCTGAGTGTTGTTGCTCTGGAAAACCGATCAAATTCAAGCAGCGGAGATGCTGCTGCTGCTGCTTGCTGCCAAACCAGGAAAGAAGGCCCCCTGCTGCCGCCCATCCTCACCAGAGAGTAGACAGAAATACGTGACGAGCCTTGCCAGATGCGCCCACCTCGAATTCGTGATCGCCGGCTCCTCGAAGATGCGTAGTTCTTCCACTGCTGACTGACCTAACCCTAAAAGCCATAGTTTTGAACGTTACTTCCCCGCTAAAACACTTGCGATAGCTTCATATTTGAAAGTCTAGGGTTTTCCCGCCCAGAGCTTGAGCGATGAGGAGCACCCCGGTCGCCGCCGCCGCCTTGGAAGCACGAGAGGACAATCAGCTCGTCGCCGTCGCCGATGAGGAGGAGGACTCGTTTGAGACCATCGATAAGCGTGAGTCTCTGTTTTGGCTCTAGATCGATCGCTCGGCCTTCTAGATTTCTTGTTCTTCCAGTCACCGCACAGGGGATCAATGCCGGGGATGTGAAAAAGCTCCAGGATGCGGGAATTCACACATGCAATGGACTGATCATGCAAACAAAGAAGGTGTGAATCGATCGATTTTTTCTCACCTATCTGTGGAGTTTCTTCTATGCTGCTCTAGAGCCTCACAGCCATCAAGGGATTGTCCGAAGCAAAGGTCGACAAGATCCTGGAAGCGGCAGAAAAGATAGTTGTAAGTGCCTTGAATCTGGATTTTCCTTCTCGCTCACTGCCATTTTCCAGCAAGTCGGCTATATCACTGGTAACGAGGCTCTTCACAAGAGAAAATCCGTGATTCATATCACTACAGGAAGCCAGCTTTTGGATGACCTTCTCGGTGGTATGCTCTATTCTTTTCTCTCTTTTTTTTCTCATCTCTTTTCGCCATACGCACCAGGTGGTATAGAAACGATGGCAATCACCGAAGCCTTTGGCGAATTCCGGACCGGCAAAACTCAGCTCGCGCACACTCTTTGCGTAGCCACGCAGCTGCCGTTGGGCTTACACGGAGCTAATGGCAAAGTGGCCTACATCGACACCGAGGGAACGTTGTATGATCATCGTCTTATGCTTTTGCTTTTCTCTGATGTGAATTCTAAACGATGCTTGCAGTCGTCCTGATCGAATAGTCGCCATCGCGGAAAGGTTTGGACTGGATCCAACAGCTGCTCTTGACAACGTAAGCATTTTAGCTCTTCAACCCCTGAGTAACTTTCGGCTTTCCAGATTGTGTATGCTCGAGCATACACGCACGAGCATCAGTACAACCTTCTGATCGCCATAGCGGCTAAAATGACTGAAGAACCGTTCAGGCTCCTGGTAAGAATTAATTCTTGTATCTTCTATCCTGTCTTACAAGGAACTGCACAGATTGTGGACTCCATCACCTCATTGTTTCGGGTAGACTTCTCAGGGCGTGGAGAACTGGCAGAGAGACAAGTAAGACGACTTTTACTTCATACATTCAGCCAATTAACTTTGTGGCCGTGCAGCAAAAGCTGGCGCAGATGCTCTCCAGGCTCATCAAAATTGCTGAGGAGTTCAACGTCGCGGTGTTTCTTACGAACCAAGTCATTGCTGACCCTGGCGGCGGGACCTTCGTCGCGGATCCAAAAAAGCCCGCTGGTGGCCACGTCCTGGCTCATGCTTCGACAGTAAGACTGATGTTCAGAAAGGGGAAGGGCGAACAAAGAATTTGCAAAGTCATCGACTCTCCAAGCCTCCCGGAGTCCGAAGCTATATCCTTTCGTTGGATTTTTTTTTCTTCCAAAGTTTCAACTAGCTGACCTTGACAGTGTTCACGTCTTCCAGATAGCACCAGGTGGGATCACAGACGCCAAAGACTAGAACAGGGGAAGCTGATCGTGTGGCTCAAAATGTGCCACGACGGGTTTTGGGGAATAAAACATCGTTGATTCAAAGCGCAATAGGGCACGGATTCGCGTGAGTCCATTTCTCAACCACTTTTGTGTGGTGTCAGGTAGGTTTTTGGAGCGGCCACCGTCGCGGGCGGGTGTTCGTCGTTGAGCTGTTGCGATGGCCGATGGAGATAACAACGAGTTCGACGTTTTCAAGTCATCCAAGTGGCGTGGAAATCGAAAGTCGAGTTTCGCGGTTAGATTTATTTTTTGGAACGCATTCCGGCTCTGAGCTTTTCTTTTGCAATTTGGCAGCAAATATTTCATGCTCGTGAACGAGAAAGTGGAGCACATGGAGGAAAGTTGCCTCCAAAACCTGGAGGGCCCTCGGATAGAGCTCCAGTATCTAAATCAAAACCACAGCCTGAGGTCGGTCTACTTTCGAAGGAAAACAAAAAAGTATGATGGTTTACTGACTTGTGCCTCAGCCTCAAAGACGGCGTGGAGGTTTAAGCTCTCACACGCTCATGGAATTCAAGAAGGCTTTTGATAAAGCCACGCGTGAAGAACTTGACAGAGTTGGGCTTATAACTTTCCGAATTACTATCGAGTAACAAATGCTTGTCTTGCAGGCAAATTTCATCAAAACGTGCAAGAACATCAAGGACGTGGCTTCTGAGCTGAGGTTCGTTGTGACTTCTCGTAAGTGCTTTGTAACAAAGCGTGCATTTGTGTGTCAGTGAAAAGGAAATGGAACATTTTTTCATGAAGGTCGATGTGAACAGCAAGGGCGTTGTAGATTTTGATGATTTTACAAGCTACATTCTTCAGCAACAGGTACTGGTTTCTTAGAAACCGCGTCTCTCGCTAAAACAAACTCTGCTTTCTCAGCTAGCAAAAGAAGATGAGCCGGGTGCGGACTTTGCAACGTATGTGAAGATGAAACCTTCTAGCAAGAAAGGAGCAACAAAAATGGAGGATGAGTCCGATTCTGAGGAATCTGATGAAGAGGACGAAGTCATAGCAGAAAGGCCAGTTATGAAAAGCTTCAAAGCTTGTAACACGACTGTGGAGCGTCCTTCTCATATCATTGAAAAGGTTGGCATGTATCATAGTTTTACGCTACTAACAGCAGACATCGTGCAGATTATTCTTTTATCTCACATACAAACATATGTTACAGCAACACAAGACGGAATGCTTAAATTGTGGCATGGAGACTCTCTGAAGTTGTTACGAACACAAAAGAATGGTGGTGGAGGTACATGTCCCCACGAGTGCTTCTTCCCTGATGAAATTCCACTATAGAAGTTGAAATATGGCAGCGTGGATCACTGACATTGTCGCCATGGCTCAACAACCTCTGGCGGTGTTTGCAATGGATAGAAGGTGACTAGATGAAGCAGAAGACGATGCATCTTTGACATCTGGAATATGCAGTGTGACGTTTTATGACACGGGAAGACTTTCGTTTGATGTCCTGGGAAGGATTGAGAACTTGGTAAGTTCTTGTTATCCTTCAAAGGTTTCTAAGTCATTTTCTTGACAGAGAAATGGAGCATTATGTGCTACCTGGGTGAGGACTCCAGAGAATGATAAGCTGCTATATGGAGATGACCGTGGCTACCTTCATGTGTATGATTTCTCTGACGAGTGGGGAGGGTAAGGATTCTGTTTTCTTCGATTTGGAATTGCAGTGTGCGAGTGTTGCAGGGAGATTCCACGCATTGCAGCTGGGGTGACGGAGGAGCTTTTGCCGGGCATGTCTGAAAAGCTACCTTGGAAAATACACAATAACTGGGTTACAAGGATTAAGTATCTATCTCATTCGTCCTCGTTACTGAGCTGCTCCATGGATAGCACACTTCTCATGCTTGATCTAGAAAAACAGAAAAGGAAGTGGTCTGGCAAAGAACACCACCACGGGATATTTGCACTAGATTATTGCAGGTTTGCATCGAACTTCCAAGACTTTCAGTTTTTGCTAAACCTTTTTATTTGACAGGAGTTTTAATTTCATTGTCACTTGCGGGTTGGAAAGAAACGTTAACATATGGAATCCTTTTACAGCAAAGATAATGGGGCAGTTGATCGGGCATCAGTCGCCTGTTGTGGTTTGTGCATTGATGGAAGCTGCCTTGTGTAAACTGACATTGTTTTACATGCAGGACGTCGTTGTAAACGAAGACGATAACCAAATCGTAAGTGTAGCAACCGACAGCATCATAAAAATTTGGGATATGAGGAGCAATCGGTGTATGCAAACTGTTGTTGACAAGACACTCGATAAATCTGGCGAACCTCCAATAATTTCCAGACTTCTTTATGACAAACGAAGAAGCGTAAGACTTTGCTTTTGCAGTGTCATCATTTTTCTTGCTCATCTTTCCGTTCTTCGCAGGTTCTTTTAGGTGGAGGTACCTCACTGCAAGCATGGCGCAAGCGGCTTGCCAGTGAAACGCGTTCAGGGAAGATATGTGGTTCGGGTTTCAGTAGTACATTTCGCCAGCTCATTGTGGCTGAAATTGAGTCGCTTGTCACTATTTGGAACATTGACGATGGACACCATACTTTCTCATTCTCAGACGGCAAGTATGTCTAGAAGATTATGATGCCTTGAAAGATCTAACTATTTTGCACAGGTCGACAAAAATGTCAGCGATGACTGTTGATGCTTCCGGCCGAAGACTTTTGATTGGGGGACAGGACGGAACTCTGAGAATGTGGAACTTCAACAATGGCCAGTGTCTAAAGGAGTACTGCGGGTTTGGTCAGGTCAGTACATGTCATTTTCAGAGCTTTAATACTATCTTCCTACAGGATGAAATCACCTGTGTTGTGTGCCTGGCGGAAGGAAGGAGCAAGTATGTTGCTGCCGGTGGATGGAATGGAAGGGTGAGGCTTGTTTCTTTTGAACTTCTAGCCTGTTATATCCAACAGAACATTTTCAGGTTTGCATATGGCACGACGGTCTGAAAGAGTCAGAGCCCTTGGAACGAGAGATGCACGGTCATACCGATGACATTGTTTGCATGAGCATTTGTCCACCGGGTGGTGTTGCAACTGGTGGTTATGATGGAAAGGTTTGTTGTTCTACTTAAGTTTGATGCTTTTATGACTGGTTTCTCGTCTAGGTGATTGTTTGGAAGCTTGATGGGATGATAAAATGCGTGCTGAATCCACCACCGAACGAGTCTTTTGCGAAATCAAGATCAATCGTCAACATACAGTTTCTTGGTCAGCTGGTACGCCAACAAATTTACGCCAACACATTTTTAGTATATCTGTGCAGGAAAAAGTCTTGGCTGTATTCGTTTCAGATGGATACATCTATTTCTGGCGTGTTCCTGATGCAAGCGTGGTAAGTGAATCAAAATAGCGTTGTGAAGGTGTTGACATCTGATTTTGCAGCTTCATGAGATTCCGACATGCCATATCGGTGCACCAGGTCCAATGTGCTCGGATTCCAAAAACGAAGTAAGTACACAAACGCACGAGGTTACTTTCTAAGATTTTCCCGAACTATGCAGCTTTTGTTCTCCTCGGATATAAAGGGCTACGTGAAATCGTGGTCATTGGCCGCATGCGACTTCCATCAAGCCGAGCGCCCTTTGACGCCTGTTCCGGAGATGTTTTGCTTTCGAGCTCATCATGAAACGATCGTACATCAAATGTTTTTGTCAGATTGAAAACTAACTGTTTCTTGTTCAGGTCTCGATGACATTTATCGAAACGGATAGGATACTTGTTACCGCCTCAACATTTGGCACAAGGCAAGAATTCATACTTAATCTGTTTCGTGAACTAATACGCATGGATCTGGAACAGCCGTCTGTGGACCGAGAAAGGAGTCCGGATTGGACAATTTGGACAGTACGGTGGATGGGATTTATCAAGCCCTGAGCAGTGGATTGGTAGAAAAGCGTATTATGTTTCACAAGACTCGGACAGCTCTGCGAGCTCAAGGCTAAGCTCAAGCGCGGGAAGTCGGTCGAGTTCAAGCAGGGAAAGTAGGGGCAGCTCTCTGTTGACAACATCTGGTGAAACTGAATCCAAAGAAACAACTCCCACAGATTTTCCCGAAGCCAAAGAACCTTCATCAAGGTACTAAGCACGGAGGATCGCAATTCCTTTTAACATTGCTGTTTTATCGTCACATTACAGCGCAATTCAAGCCAAAGCAGCGGCGATTCTAGATGCTGGACCACCACATCTGAGGCTTGATTCATGGTTCGCACCACTTCAAGCGGCTTTCCATCGTCAACTTCCAATAAAGGTTCGTGTTTCACTATAATAACCATTCATATAAACTTACAGGGGAGAATCCATACAGAAAATTGTCCCCTGGGGACCATTGTTGCCGCCAAATCTTCAGCACGTCAAGCAAAAATCTCTGGAAGAAATGACGACTACGGAAAAAAGCACGAGCACAGGAAAACCGAGAAAATCAAAATACCATTCGGTGAGAAAACGTTCTTTGAGTTACACCATAAGCTGAGCGTGTATTTGCTGCAGGATCCTCTACGCTTGTCGCTACCAAACATTCATTTCAACATGCCCAAGGACAAGCTCATGAGCATAATGCGGCGAAGCACTCGAACGACGCCTCGCAGCTCAGAGACGACGAGAAGCATCATGAAGATGTCCATGAAAAAATACCACGCCTGACCTTCCGGGCATTTTCCTTTACTCTTCTGTGCTTTTGAGCGAAACAAACCAGGTGAAGAAGCTTATTATCATTGAACTAACAAAAGATAATTGTCACAGGAACTTATTTTAAGCTGGAAAAATACTTCGATGTTCCGCAAAAATTTTGAATTTACATAAGCGTTAGCGGCCGCGGCTATGGCTTGAGGGAGAGCGCCAGGCCGAGCTTGGCGCTTTTCTCGAGCGCCTTGGTATCCACCTCGCCTGACATCGAGATAACGGACTTGGGCCTCCACTCGTGCTGCACCACGGCCGCGATGCGTCCATGGTTATTCAACCGGGCCTTGATCGTCGTCAGCGCGTCCAGGCCATACATCCCACCGATGGAGAAGGTGTTCGCCTTGGTGGACAGCTTGTGGGATATCTCAGCTCCAACGGTGGTCCTCGTGAACGGGCTCAAGACGTGCGAGTACGAGGCCTTGAGGGTGTCACCCTTGTCAGCTCTGCGGCCACCAAAGAGATCAATGTCAGTCACAGGGACTCGCAGCTATGAAAATCAAGTAACCAGCAAGCTCAGGATTCTAAGTCCATCCAGGATCAAACAGGACAGCTCGAGCTAGAGAAGATCTTACACGACAACCGCGGCCGTAAACTCGGGCTTGTTGATGCCAACTCCAGCGTTGTACTTGGTGAAATTCCCCGACGCAGTGTCAAACGCGGCCTCTCCACCGATGACGACGTCGTTGCTACCAAAGGCACTGGTGCATTCCACCACGGGAGACGAAGCTAGCCCAACGCTGCCAGTAACTCCGGCATACTGGTGGCAGTACTGGAGCTCCATCTGCGAAAAAGGAAGAGGTGAGATAGAGAGAGAGAGAGAGATCAAGTTTTCCATTCTTTGCTCTGCTTGCCTTTCCAGATTTCTGATCCGGAAGACTGAAGTTGAAGATCGCCCTGGTCCCCGGAGCGAGATCATCGACCTTGACAGTGGAGAAGATCTACAAGAAAAAGGAAACATCTTGACATCTCACGAGGTAAGAGCTTCTTCACCTTCGATTGCGTGTCCACTTTCACATCCACCGTGACGTTCTTGCAGACGTAAGTGGTGGTGAAATCTCCATCGAAGACGTCCCCCTTCTTGACGCCGAAAGAGGAGAAAGTCTACAAAGCCACAGTTAAGAACCTCTCTCCTTGAATCCCAGCCGAGAAAAGATCTCTTCCTCTTACCAGCCCAGTGGAGGTCGTGGAGCTCAGACTGAATCGCTGATCGGCCGAGAAATCCTTGTACAGGAGGTCTGCTCGCGCAAAATCAAGAAGAGAGGGTGAGGAAATGCGATTTCACCGCGAGTAGCAGCAGCACTCACCGCTAGTCTTCTTGCCGACATCCGACCAGAAACCGGGCCCCTTCTTTCCAGCCATCGCGAGCGGACGAGCAGCAGCGCCTAAAACCCCAGGGCACACACAAAAACGCAAAAACTAGGGCGGCGCTGTGGATTAAACACCGTTGATGGGACGCATCGACGGTCCACAGTCTCCGGGCTCATGTTAGGGTTTTTGAGAATGTTCTAGGCATATTCGATTTTTATGAATCTCACGTTTTCCAATCCAACGGCCGCGATTATGTTAGGGCTGTTCTTACAAAAATCTTCTAGGCATATTCGTATTTTAAATATTAGATGCTTGCACTTGTTTGCTTGGGAAACCACTTTTTAGACTGTGAGCAACTAACATCAGCCAGAGTGGTTTCCTGGAAAACACTGCTGAGGAAGTATTGACATCCACCACCATGGTGGTGTTACAACCTTGAGCTCCAAATCCATACCTCATTTGCTCCAAGTCATATTCCACCGTCAAGTCGAGCTGCTGGTACGTCCCTATGACATTCAGGTTCAGTCCAACACTCTCAGACTTCCCGATTGCCATGCAAATGGTATTGTTCACGTTGCCTGAATCATCAAGCAAAAACCATGTTGGCACTTCGACTCCAGCACCGCCCAAAAAGTGGTAAGTGAGGGTTGCCGGTGGAGGAAAGTCGCTGTTTGCCGAGATGTTGTAGCAAAGCTCCACGCCAAGACCGTCTGCGGTGCTGTTTGACACTTCCACCAGATTGGTGGTGTAGTTTTTTATTGCTTGTACCAGCTGAGTGTAGAAATCCGACGCCAAGTAGCTCAAAAAGGTGGTGGTGTCAATGACTGTTCCACCGGTTCCATTGGAAAGAAATCCCCGAATTGGAACTTGAAACTTGTTATTGTCGATAGAAATGGTCGATAAGTTGATGAAGTATAGCTCGGCCGCTTGTGGGTTTGTGATCATGGGGGTGTAGGCCATGGATGAAGAAATGGAGGCGTTCCTGAGCTTGTAGTTCCCGATTACAAGCTTTCCACGGAAAGTATCCGAGGGCAAACAGTAGATAAACTTGCTCCTGTACCCCAACGCGCTCAATTGCCCCATGAATGACACGTTACCCTTGTCAAAACCCACGAAACCAGACGTATCGAGGAGTTCGAGCAGCCCCCCACTGTCGCGGCCACAACCCAAGGACAAGTTGGCCGCCACTTTTTGGTTTCGTACGGAATCCATTGTTGCAATGTCGCTGACCAAGTCACCAGCCGAGGAGAAGTTAGTGGCGTACGATGTGTTGTACGAGCAAAAGGAGGATGGTCCACAGCTCGTAGAAACAGCACTGAATGCCGAGCACGATGGAGAACCGCATGGAAGCTTGGTGTGAGAAGTTGACAAACCTGGCTGAAAGAGAGATGCGGTGGTGCAATTGATTGCACAGGACGAGGAGCATGCCACCCAAGAAACCCGGAGTCCACCGCGAGAGTGAAGTTGAGCGGCTGGGGCGGAGTTCCCAGGCTGAGATCCATGGCGAAGTTGAGTGCACCATCGAGAAAGAAGCTGGCTTCCAAGGCTTGGCTGCTTTTTCGAGAAGAGGGCAAAAACAGGTTAGTGTTGACAATTGGAGTCCTATTGGGCGGGAAGAAACCAACACCACGGTTACGATATGGAATCCTTGCACGCTGTCCTTGAATGCATCCTGCAAAAGTTACCAACAAGAGTACAATTGCTACACGAGATCCTCATTTGGAAATAAGCAAATTGCAAAGGCAAAGGAGCTATATATCTCGAGTTTACAAATCAATCCAGACTGAATTTTCTATGTTGACGCGGTTTGTATAGTAAACTTGACAACATAAAGTTTTGAAGGTGTCTTACTTAAACAAGCAGGAGATACGTCAGGAGAGGAAGAAAAGAAAACGCTTGAGTTGTAGAAGATTTCCACACGAAGACGTATGTAAAACCAGAAGAAGTGTCAAGGTTCATACATCCTGCAGTTCCAAATCCAATCTCCTGCTTTTCCAGATCAAACTCCACTGTCACATCCAGCTGCTGGTAGGTTCCTATAACATTCAGTGAGAACCCCACCTTCTGTGAGTCTCCAACAGCCAAGCACACAGTAGCATTTTCAGCAACATCGTCTAGCAGAAACCATGTCCGAAATTCAACCGGTGTGCCCTGCGAGAATGCCTTGCACCGGAAAAGTCAAGTGTCGCTGATACTTACGGATCTCAAGCTGATGTAATACAACGCAATGGAATTTGATTTATCATTGGAGTGTAAGAAAGAGAGGAGTTTGATGATATCTTATAGTTGCCGAGCACGATTTTGCCGCTCAACGTATCAGATGAAACACAGTAGATAAACTTGCTTGTATAGTGTCCGATGAATGACTTGTTTGTCTTTGCACATCCCACCAGGTCTGATGTATTGCGAATCCCCAGCAATCTCGTGCTTTCTCGACCACATCCAAGTGACATTCTGAGGCTTTTATTGCACTGTAATTTTACGTGGAGTTTTCATGGTTACAACATCACTAGCCATCTCACCAGCTGACGAGTATTTGGGGCTGTAAGAAACATTATATAAGCAAGTCGTGAAACCCACGGCTGAAGATCCGCAAGCGTTTGTCGAGAAATCAGGGGATGTCGAGCAGAAAGGAGAGGTGCAAGGAATTCTAGTGTAAGATGTGGATGATGCCCATGAAAAGAGGGGTTCGTTTGTGGAAACATTGCAATCGATGCAAGGAGAGCACGCAGCCCAGAAGAATTCCGAGTTAAGTGCCATGGTGAAGTTGTGCTGCACGGGAGGAGTTCCCAAATTGAGATTCATGGCGAAGTTGAGGCCGTTACCTACATAGAAACTCATCTCTAGGCCTTCGTCTTCTCTCAAGAATTCGGTGGAGTTGGCTGGAGTTCGTCTTCGCTTCCAGGCGGCAACTCCCATCTCGATTCCCTTTTCTATCGCAACTTCCAAGACCGAGCTTGCAATAACATTGGCAAACCTTAACAGACCAACGCCTCTCCATGGAGGATTGGATTGAGGCAAGATTGGGAAAGACTAGATTGAGAAACTCTGTGATATATATTTAATGACATAATAAACGAGTTTTCATAAACATCATCCTTTTTGTAAAAGAGAAGACCTCGGTTTAACGGATTGATATGGACACTTTAAATTATTTCTGTTTACCTTTTACGAATATAAAACGGGCATAGCATGACAAAACCTAGATAGCTATGGCGAGGGCAAAGAAGACAGCCACTGCACCAAAGGTAGCCAAGTCACAGAGAAACAAAAAGAATGGCTGGATTGAGCCAAAGGTTACAGTATCTAGTGAAAAGGCCTTGTCCTCATCTCTGGTTAACAGGGACAATGAGATTGTTGGCAAGAAGAAGACTGACTATTTCGTGCTAGTCTCGAATCCATGGTCGGTGCTTAGAACAAACACCGATATGGATAGCAAGAAACAAGCGTCAGTGGCTCATGGAGTGATCATCAAAAAGGACAAGCCAAAGTCAGCAGCGCCACCATCGGAGAACGGCGAGCTTGATCATGCCAATTTGAAGAGACAGAAGAAGCGCTCTAAGAAATCATCAAGTGCTGCCCTGGAGAACAAGGATGAATCTGATGCCAGGAAAATCGAATTGGAACGTGAGGAAGTGGTCGAAAAAACGCCCTTGAAAGAAGAAAGAGTGGTCGATCAGAGCTCGGGACTGTTGATCGTAGTGACTCTTTTAGTTATTGCTATCTTGTTCTTCATGCTAATGTGAAACAAACATACCATGGTTTTCCTTTTGGTTTGATAACAAGTACATCCAACGGCCACGATTGCTTTAGGGTTCTTCGAATAATCTTTTGGTCGTCGCCGCTGCCGCTACCGTCTTCCACTAAACGCATAAACGAATTCTAGGTCGATTCGATCGGGTCTAGGGAAATTTTGATCGCGCATGCGGCCGGTTTCTCCCTTTGCGCATCCAAATCGAGCGAAATTGCGGACTTGACACTTTGCGTCTAGCTAGAGCCAAGGGAATCGTGCGGACAAGCTCATCGAGATGTAAAGGGCGGTGTGGATGCCCGTGCTTTTTAGAATGTGCCAGGCTTTTATGAATCACAGGTCTATCATATTGGCATATTCGATTTGTTCACTGAGAAACCACTTTTTAGATTGTGAGCAGTACCACAAGCCAGACTGGTTTCTTGCAAAACTCTGCCAAGGAAGTAGTAACCATGGTGGTGTTGCAACCTTGGGCTCCAAATCAAACCTCATTTGCTCCAAGTCATATTCCACCGTCAAGTCTAGCTGCTGGGATGTACCTATGACATTCAGGTACAGTCCAACGCTCTCAGACATCCCGATTGCCATGCAAATGGTATTGTTCATGTTGTCTGAATCATCAAAGAAAACCATGTTGGCATTTCGATTCGAACACCGGCATTGCCCAAGAAGTGATAAGAGGGGCTGTTTGTTAGGCACCAGGTTAGGATAATAGGATAAGGAAAGGGCCTTACAATCAAGTGATCACCCTTTTAATCAGTTGGTTTAGGGTGTAAGGGATAAGATCCTAACAATAGTATTGGAGCCCAATTCGATTTTCGTGACTGACGAGTGGGGCAGGAATATTTTGAAGGAATATTCAACATGGTGGATCTAGAGGGAGAACCAAAGTTTGGTAGACCCTTAGAGAAGGACCATGGTGACCGGAGGATGGCCTAAGTATGATCGTGGACGATTATTCCCTGACGAGGGGGAGGATTGTTAGGCACTAGGTCAGGATAATAGGATAATGAAAGGGCCCTACAATCAAGTGATCACCCCTCCACTGGAAAGAAGTCCCCGAATTTGACTTGAAACTTGTTATTGTCAATAGAAATGGTAGCTCGGCTGCTTGTGGGTTTGTGAACATGGGGCCATGGACGAAGAAATGGAGGTGTTCCTGAGCTTGTAGTTACCAATTACAAGCTTCCCACGGAAAGTATTCGAGGGCAAACAGTAAATAAACTTGCTCCTGTATCCCAATGCGCTCAATTGCCCTATGAATGACATGTTACTATTGTCAAAACCCACAAAACCAGACGTGTTGAGGAGTTCGAGCAGCCCCCCACTGTCGCGGCCACAACCGAAGGACAAGTTGGCCGCCACCTTTTGGTTTCGTACGGAATCCATTGTTGCAATGTCGCTGACCAAGTCATCAGCCGAGGAGAAGTTTATGCCGTACGATGTGTTGTACGAGCAAGAGGAGGATGGTCCACAGCTCGTGGAAACGGCACTGAATGCCGAGCAACCGAACGGAATCTTGGTGTGAGAAGTTGACAAACCTGGATGGAAGAGAGATGTGGTGGTGCAATTGATTGCACAGGACGAGGAGCATGCCACCCAAGAATACCCGTAGTCCACCGTGAGAGTAAATTTGAGCGGCTGAGGCGAAATTCCCAGGCTGAGATTCATGGTGAAGTTGAGTGCACCATCGAGAAAGAAGCTGGCTTCCAAGGCTTGGCTGCTTCTTCGAGAAGAGGGGAAAAACAGGTTAGTGTTGACAATTGGCGCCCTGTTGGGTGGGAGTCCTCCTTGTATGCATCCTGCAAAAGTTACCAACAAGAGCACAATTGCTACACAGCTCAGGCCTTGTGGATCTCGAGGCAAGCAGCCAGTAGTGAGACCCAAGCAACACTCTCAGGTTTGAAGGGCATGCTGTGGATGAGCTCCTCAGCTTTGTCCAGCTCTTTGGCCCTTGCAAATGCATCAACAAACCCACAGTAGTGTTCTCCCATGAGCTCAACTCCATAATCTGGAAGTAGTCCTAAGAGATCTTCACCACCCGAGTGGCAGCACGCCGCAAGCACACTCGTAAAGACAATGTGATTGGGCATTATGCTCTCCTGGATGGTCCTATGGAAGGTTTCCAAGGCCTCGGTTACATGCCCGGTGGAAGCATACATGGCCACCACTGCAGTCCATGAGACCAAGTCTCACTCTGGCATTTTCTCGAACCAAACTCGAGCTTCCATGAGGAGTCCCTTGCGAGTGAAACCTGCCACCATTGCCATTCAGGCGATCCCATCACGCTCTTCGATCGCTGTAGGGGCTCATCACTTCTTGGAAGTGCGTTCCAGAGATAGGCCGAGAGGAGTGCTTGCTGTCTTGCTATTGTAAGGCATTCAATCGAAAATAAACTTTGCATTTTCAAGATGGTTTCTAGAGGCAAGCATATGGATCATTGTTGTCCAAGAGATCTCGTCACGGTGAGCCATCTTTTGGAAAGAATCTAGTGCCTCGTCCAAATGCCCATTCGCGGCATATCCGCAAACCATGGAGTTCCAAGCCACGACGCGCATCGCATCATCCGTTGGATGATGGGGACGTCCGAGGTTCAAGTCCTGGCAGGTTCTAGCTTCCAGCCACGAATTTTTCATGGCACGCGGCGAGAACTCATCCCCCATCGTGCAGCCGCACTCCAAATGCCGGAGGCAATCGCAATCAGGCGCGCTCGTCAACGACATAATTAATTTCCATCTTTTCTTGTGGCTTGGATGGATTTCTCTTGCTGCGAGTTCAGCAAGTTATCCGATGAATGACTTGTTTGTCTTTGCAAATCCCACCAGGCCTGATGTATTGAGAATTCAAAGAAGCTATATATCTCGAGTTTACAAATCAATCCAGACTGAATTTTCTATGTTGACGCGGTTTGTATAGTAAACTTGACAACATAAAGTTTTGAAGGTGTCTTACTTAAACAAGCAGGAGATATGTCAGGAGAGGAAGAAAAGAAAACGCTTGAGTTGTAGAAGATTTCCACACGAAGACGTATGGAAAACCAGAAGAAGTGTCAAGGTTCATGCTGACATTGCATCTTGCTGTTCCAAATCCAATCTCCTGCTCTCCAACAGCCAAGCACACAGTAGCATTTTCAGCATCATCATCTAGCAGAAACCATGTCCGAAATTCAATCTGTGTGCGAGTTTGTGGTGGTGGTGTGTCACCGTTTACAGAAACATTGTAACAAATATCATTGCTGAGCAGTGCTGCAGTTTCGTTGCTCGATACTTTAGTAAGGTTGGAGTTGAGGTTTTGTATGGCTTGCACAAGAGGGGCGTAGGAATCTGGTGTGAAATAGCTGAATGCAAACATGGAATCAATGATCTTTCCTCCAGTTCCATTTGCAAGAATGCCTTGCACCGGAAAAGTCACCATAGCAAGATTAGATGGTGAATGTCACAAGGCTGGCAGTGGCACACCAATTCTGGCGGATTCCACACCAATTCTGGCGGATTCGAGATCATTGTCTGCTGTCCACTCACGTTTGGTGCGAAACAATGCTGCCAACAGAGATACTTAAATTACTGCCATATGTCAATCTAGAGTTTCATTTAGAGCTACTGGTTTACTATAAAGCTGATCAAGTTCAGAGTTGAGAATCAGAAGATGGTCTCATTAATCACTATATTCCTGTTAATTTCTTTAATACCAAGCATAATTGGGGTAATTTAAAATGCAATTAATGTTTTTCTAGTTTTCTAATTTTTTTAATGCAGTGTTTATATGGTATAAGTATTAAAACAGCATGTGTAGACAATGCTGGAACTGATGCAAATATAAAATTACAATTTCTTACTTTCTTTGGAAAATTTCTTGAATTTAAAAATCTTGATAACAAAAACAGAGATGATTTTGAAAGATGTACACTTTCAACATTTTCAGATTTAGAAACAACATGTTTGGAAGAATTTGATGTAATTTGTGAAATGATTTTATCACATGATAATTCTGGTGGTAAACCTGGATGGTATCCAGAATGGGTTGAAATTATCCCACCTTTATCAGATGATCCTGATAAATATGTCACATCTAGAAAATTTTATGTTAATGCATGGCTTGAAGGTGGTAGTCTTTCATTTACAGCAAAAATATGCTAAAGTGATTTGAAAAAAAGAGAGAGTAAAACTTA